GCTACTGTCATTGTTCGGCATGAGTTTTTAAACAAAGCGTAGTAATTTCATTCAATATACGCATTTGAATGTTTGAACGATGAAACGGCGCCAACAACTTTGTCGCCCATAAAAATAACTTGCGATACTACGCATGTTATAACAGATTAGTTTTCTAATAAACTTTACACCACGGCATATAGAAAAAAGGTTTTATTTGTCTGTTTGTCTGTCTCTCAAACAAGGTAGCTTTAAAAAAATGGAAAAGAACAATTTTACTTTAGGCAAGATTCACGTCAATAAAGAAAATCTTTAGTATTAAAAAATGCTAAATTAAAACTGGTTTTTGCTGCAGGGTTGATTATAAATGTATTTATATCGGTTTGGTTTTAAAATTGCGATCATTAATTCTGAACAAGAAGTTCTATTTTGGTTTTGCGAAAATTGGCAGCGAATCTTGTAAACAGAGGTGACAATTATTTTTGCTTGTAATTTAGTAAAAGAAATGAAGGTCGGTTGGCAAGGCCATTTAGATATTATTTATTTGTTCATGAACTTCTATATGCAAAAATGGGCTTCATCAATAGGCGCTTTGTGAGTACATAAACAAATCAATATTATTCATTTTATAAGTCAAGTTATTCTAAACCGAAATGCTCACAACTTCAAATGTGTATGGTTCCCGCACTTTGAATATATGTTGTATGTATGAATAAAATCAATTTGTTTTTTTTTGTTTTGTGATAAGATTTACGTCTTTCTACTGGGTGAAACGCAATGATTTAACCCATTACCAACAGATAGCAACGAAATTGACACTACAGTTTACTAATAAAATTATTCTTGTCCACAGCCAGCAAGTCGTGAAAAGATGGTGTCAAGATCGGCCCTAGCTCTCGCAGCCATTGGTCTCGGTGTTTCAACCTTCAGTGTCCGTCAAATGATCCTCCACCAATCCAGAAGGATCTAGAAACATATTTTAAATTCTAGAATATTCTGGCATATCGTATAACCCAATTATCAAAATGGAGACGTAGCACACATAGATTAAGTTTATGCTTCAGTATTTTGTGATGTGTGAAAACAAAAAAATTGTAAAATGAAAAATGTAAAAACCGTAATTTATTTTTAATCTGTGCGCGAGTGATTTTAGAAATTAAGTCTCCGGATGAAGTGAATGACTGAATGATAGCAGCCGTTTATTTTGTGACGGAAACCAAATAAATATAGTGCTAAGGATTATTGAATTTTTTTATTTATAGAATTACTAAGGGTTTTCACAAGATAAAGTACCACTTAACAAAAATTTTTGAAATAATGCTTTTGACCTTCATCGGCTTAACTTTGAGCTTTGTGACGAATAGCGCTATCGGACAGTCGTGAAACGCAACAATAGTGTTTATCCTACCAATAAGTAATAAATAGCTAATTTTCAACTTATGTGGAACTTATCCGTACATTGTGAAACAGACCCTTAATCTGCCAACCTATAAGGCTCTTGCCCTCAACGCGAAAGTCTTGCAATCGCCTCTGCCCCACTTGTAAGCTCACATTCAAATGTAGCAGGTACTGTATATCTCACACACGCGACGGCGAATATAATTTAATATTACTTATTCGCTTGTGACGAATTATAGTAGACATAACTTATGCATTCATTATATCAGTCGCCTAGGGCCAGGATTTTCCGTTCCGCCACAACCAATATTTTCATTGTCAACTCGTATCGAAATTCGAACATAACGAGGTTAAGTTAAGGCATATTATGAAATGTGCCAGAATATTTGTTTATGGATTGCAGTTTCCCAATAAAATGATTTGATTGGACGTAGAAGAATTTGACTTACTGGACTACACAATTTGGTTATAAAGATTATCCTTAATAATGGCCACTTAATTTTTAAACATGATTTTGCTACAACAGCGATCCATGTTTCTCAATTTAAAATAAAACATTTAAGTGTGACTATATTTATTAGTTTAATTACCATAACAACAGAAATGCTTGCAAATATAAACTTAACAAATGCTTATAAAGATACAAATTTTTCTAAAACATTTTCATTCACGGGAAAATCATGCTAATTTAAAAACTTAGAACAATTATTTGTGCATTCCTATTTACAAAGTGTTAACTGAAGCCTAAACATGTAATTTCAAACTGCTTCTTCAAATTATCCAAATATAATTTAGGTATAGAAATGGCAGTGGTAAAAAGCCAGAAGCTTTTTATTCTATGCAGGTGCTGGTTTTTTATTCTGGGCTTTAAATGGCTTTTTAGTTGTTAAAGTTATTTATGTCAAATGCATAATAAGTACAGAGCATAGTTAATTTATGATTAACTTAAAACTACTTAACTAATACATAAACAATTGTTTAAGGGCAGGTATAGTATAGATCTAATTCTAAGTATATGACAATTAATAACATCTATGGAAAAATAAAATAAATACATTATATAAGATACATTTTCGAGTAATAACATGCTTAAATGCATAGATTTGAATGCATTTTAAGCCCTGGATATAAAGAAAATAAGGTTATAATATTATTAGGTATATAAAGTTTAAACGAAAATACTGTATTAATACAAGTATGTCAGCAGTTTGTACTCAAATAATATTTATATTCAACAACATAACTCTCAATACAAAATCATAAAAACAATAACACCCACAGATTCAAAACAGTCTATGGTCCGAGAAAAGGACAAAACTATTCCACTAGTACGTTGGAAAGAGACAGGTATAGGATTCAAGGACTCTGAAATACCGTAGAGATGTCCTTGAATATCTCAGGCTATGCGCGCTTGAAGTATTGTTCATCCACACGTTTAGCCAACGCGACTAAGCTTACATGTCGACGTACTGTGTCTGCGAGTTTACGGCACGGTAAACGCGTGGTTATTATTGTGAACACGTGACCAAATACCAGGGCGTCAAGTTCTGTCGGTCTGGAAAGAAAAAATAATCATTCATCATCAATAATCATAATCATTCGGTAACTTTTATTTCTACTGGGTAAATCTACTATGCCTAAGTAACTAAAGTACACTTTATTTTTGTTTGGGTAATTTTGAAATGTGTAAGGTTTTGACGCTATTAGACTACAAGTAAAATATTTTTATGAATAAGGGAGATTGTTTCTAATATCACTACAAATATTACCGTTATTATGCTACGAATTATAAGAGCGATAGTGTTGATACTTTTACTTAAATTACGATACATCTAAAGAAAATTCAGTACTGTTTAGAACAAATAAAAACTATATTCTACAGACAACGGAATGCCAAATGCCCTTTCTCCACTGCTCCAGTCCGGCGTCGGAAACCGGGATCAGTCATGAGAAAAATATCGGAAGGCCGGATTCTGCTTCTCCACTTTATCCGATCGATCGATCGATCAGTAAAAATAAGTCGCAACGGACGTAACGCAGTGCTTTATTAAAATTCCTCGGCTTTACGATTCACAATGAGTCCTGCCTTTAATCGCCAACAACTTTTTGCTATATTGTTATACGTTCGAAGACAAAGAGGCATCACTGTCGATCACTTCGGACCGATAAAACACCGCGTTCCGATCTAGCAAGTTATGGATCTTTAAAAACCGGATGTCGGAGTAGTGGAGAAGTACGTAAATACTATTGTGAGTTTCTAAATCGGATCGGTAATTAACGTTTGCCGGACCGGAGCAGTGGAGAAAGGGCCTAAGAATTACAAATGTCTCACCTCGATCTCAAATTCAACTAAGACATTAAAATAAACTCATAAGAAGATACATTTATTAAGAGAGAACAAAACAACAATTTTAACACAAAACTAATCAACGTCATCAACGGCAATGGGACTGAAATGCTCCGCCCGTTCCTTGCGAAAAGTTCTCAAAAGGCTTTCAACACTAACTTCATCTTCATTGGGTTTTAAAGTGCAATTAGATTCTGAAAATCATTTTATCATTTCAAGTAAATTAAATGTCAACAAATATAACTCTTATTTGCTACGCGTAATTTTTTCATTAATATATTTTAATTTTTACATGTAACATATTTTACAGAACTCTCGAACGATGACGTAACGGTGCTGTCATGATAAAACAAGGTTAGTACTGTTGCGACCTCAAATCTCACCGGAAGTCAAGGAGAAATTCTCTCTCTACCTAATATTGATCTTTTGTAAAGTTTTTTAACGCGCATTTATCGCATTACCTAATAGCGATTGAGAGACAGTCTCGCTCATCAAGACTGCTGTGACGCACTCGAAACATCGACATATGTCAATAATGTAACTATATTGAATCAATTTTATTAAAAGTAAAATATTTTTATGAATAAGGGAGATTGTTTCTAATACCACTACAAATATTACCGTTATTATTCTAGGAATTATAAGAGCGATAGTGTTGATACTATTACTTAAATTACGATACACATCTAAAGAAAATTCAGTACTGTTTAGAACAAATAAAAACTATATTCTACAGACAACGGAATGCCTAATGCCCTTTCTCCACTGCTCCGGTCCGGCGTCGGAAACCGGAATCAGTCATGAGAAAAATATCGGAAGGCCGGATTCTGCTTCTCCACTTTATCCGACAATAATCGATCAGTAAAAATAAGTCACCACGTCGCAACGGACGTAACGCAGTGCTTTATTAAAATTCCTCGGCTTTACGATTCACAATGAGTCCTGCCTTTAATCGCCAACAACTTTTAGCTATATTGTTATACGTTCGAAGACAAAGAGGCATCACTGTCGATCACTTCGGACCGATAAAACACCGATCTAGCAAATTATCGGATCGTTAAAAACCGGATGCCGGAGTAGTGGAGAAGTACATAAGTACTGTTGTTAGTTTCTAAATCGGATCGGTAATTAACGTTTGCCGGACCGGAACAGTGGAGAAAGGGCCTAAGAATTACAAATGTCTCACCTCGATCTCAAATTCAACTAAGACATTAAAATAAACTCATAAGAAGATACATTTATTAAGAGAGAACAAAACAACAATTTTAAAACAAAACTAATCAATGTCATCAACGGCAATGGGACTGAAATGCTCCGCGCGTTCCTTGCGAAAAGTTCTCAAAAGGCTTTCAACACTAACTTCATCTTCATTGGGTTTTAAAGTGGAATTAGATTCTGAAAATCATTTTATCATTTCAAGTACATTAATTGTCAACAAACTTTTATTTGCTACACGTAATTTTTTCACTAATATACTTGAATTTTTAGAACTCAGAACTCTCGAACGATAATGACGTAACGGTGCTGTCATGATAAATGGTTATTACTGTTGCGACCTCAAATCTCACCGGAAGTACAAAATTCTTCTCTCTCTACCTAATATTGATCTTTTGTAAAGTAAAGTTTTTTAACGCGAATTTATCGCATTACCTAATAGCGATTGAGAGAGTCTCGCTCATCAAGACTGCTGTGATGCACTCGAAACATCGACATATGTAAATAATGTAATATATTAAATCAATTTTATTGTAACTCCCATTCCTATTTCGTATACCGCACACTTTTGTTAATTTAGGTTATGTTGTAGGTATGACTTTAATATATTACAATCCAGCAACGCGAAGTATAATTCAGATAAAAAGTTGGTACAGTACAGTACTCACGATACGCTTATGATTAGATATATATCTACCCTCACTCACGCATTCTGGTCCAAATTTCATTCAAAGGATTAAGAAATAATATTAAAAAAAACCTCTGTATAGTTCAAATCGGGAAGCACTGGATTTTACGCAAGATATTTTTGAAGTTTTACTGGCAGCACTTTTAGTTTTTGTCTCGCTTCCATTTTCATTTAACGTTACCGTGGGACAACCACTGTCAAACAGATATTGGAACACTTAAAAACCAAATTTCATCAGATTATGCTACTACCTGTATCCGCAGGTCGTCTACTTGGACATTCATCATTTTAATTTACCGTCAAAGTTTTTAATAAAATCTTTCAATACGTCTCTTTTGTATTAAAAATTTAAACCACAACAAATATACCTAGAATCCATATCATTGACGTTTTCATCGATATCCGATTCATGTTTATCGAGAACATCACTATCATCAATAACTTGCAACACATCCTCCTCAGTTTCTATAGAAACGCTATTCTCTTCGATCGTATCCAGGAAATCGTTAATTTTAATATAACTTTTATCGATAATAGGGCAGGGTATAAATTCAAAATGTTTGTCGATATCAGAAATTATTTCATCAACTTTGTCGATAATATCATATATTATATCGTTTATGAACCCGTAGGACTCTTCCATTTGTCTCAATTCCTGTCCTTCATATTCGCATGTAATCGTACCATTTTTAGATGTCATTATTATAACTTGTCTTGATGCAAATGGCTTAAAACCTGCTTGAATTTTAATTGTAAAAAAAAATTAATATGAAATTACTACAGCGATAATTAAATAAAAGTTTAACATAAGAACTTAGGAATTATTAGTATTAGTACAAGTCAATGGTAAGTACAGCAAATGTCAGTTGGGCGGCGGTATGACTTAACATCAGGTGAGCCTCTTGAATTAAAAAAAGAAAGAAAAATAGAACACAAAAACCGAGTGGCTTCCGCTTAATATAAGTATGTATATCGGCCACTTTGTTTTCAATATCCTTTTCGTAAATTATGTTAGACTTAAATTAGTTTTTACACTGATCTTAAGTTAAGAAGGCTTGATGTCCAAGGATGTGTCAGTAAAGAGACAATTCATATAAAAAGTCTCGATTGTCTTTAACTGTCAAATTCTGCTTTCGTAAAAGTCATATAGTGCCTTTGTTAAAACAATGTACTTTTACTAATTTAGTTCAAATATATATAATGATATTCGCTTGGCTTAACCGCAATCCAAAGTCGCGGGCGGTCATATCTAAGAGATTTAATACGTAAAAATATAATATTAACCAAAAACATCCTTATTGTATGTAACACTCTCCCGACTAGGGTTGCGTATGCACATTTTTGATCGTTTTGTTCTCGATATTGATCTTTCGGGGGAATGTCTACGAGAACAGAGGTGGCAACCCTGAGCCACCAAGTACTGCTCTTGGGGCTGAGTAAACAGAAATAATGTTTTAATATAAGAATGAAAAGATTATTTAATCTTTCAATTTTCTTTTAATCTTAACAGTCATTTGACCGTTTGTTGTAAAAGTTTATGTATAAAAAGTTCAACGAGAAAATAGATAACCTTACTACAAAAAAATATTTTTATCACTAAATACCAATTTACAAATGAACGTCGTTTTTTTCGACACAATTTATATAAAATATTCAAGGCGTTGCTCTGGTAGCTAACATATGTAAAAACGTTTATATTTATTATTATTACGTATTTGTAAATATACGTAGTTGGTCCCAAAGTTCTGTCACTACACATTATTTCTACATTTACAGGATTTTATAAAAAAATTATTGCATTCTATTTGAATGTTTGATTATTGTTTTAAAACAAAAACAATAACTTTCTAATTTTTAATGAGTGACATTGAAATAAACCGAATATTGTTATTGTTACTGTGACACTGCCGATACCATTTTATTCTAAATTTAATATAACTTAGTTGTAGTATATTGATAGGTACTTGAATCCATTTGAGACAAAAAAGAATCTATAAGAACACCAATAATAAATATGGATAGTAAAAATCTCAAAAATTATGATTTAATATTATAAAAAAAAAAAGTTTTAAATAAATCTTGTTAAATAAAAAAAGTGGGCATTATTAATGCTTCTAAAACAATAATTAAGAATTTTTAGTAAAAAAACATATATCCTTTTAAAAAAATTTTTATATTAAAAATAAATAAACAAATTATAATTATAAATTTAAAACTGAAAATAAATTGGTGCAACATGGACATCATCATATATAATTGATTCTATTGGGCTAATGATTAATTTTTTAAAGGGGGTAAAATTAAGTTAAAGAATTTTTATTTTAAAATTAATATTTGACATACTTGTTTAAGGACTCTGGTTGCATAAAAGCAAACATAAACCTTTTATAAAACATGTTTAATTAAATAATTGCCTTCCTATATTAATTTTGAAAAATTATAAGCTTAAGAGGAAGGTCTTGATAAACCTCATGAAAATTTGAAATCTAATCATCTTTAAAAAACCATACTGAAATCACACAATATTGTTGGATAGACGACTGAGTTAAGGGTTATTAAAAATAGGGAGTTATTTAATATTTTTATCTTTTTTATTTTAATAATTTATAAGAATTGATATATACTATTACAACTATCAGTATTTTTTTTTAAATTTATTTATGAAGAACTTTAATAGAAGGAAAAGTTTATTAAATTTTCCGCTAAAATCAAAAGAAATTCGTAAGAACCGTATTAAGAACGTATGTTCTCAATACGTTAATGCTAACACGTTGTCCCCACGTCATCCAAACCATTTTCATTAAGTATTCAAAAATTCCAAAATGACGATATACATTGACAGATCTCTCAAAGAATTTTTTTAAATACATTGTGTTAATTAACACTTTACAAAGCAATGAGTCACGAAATAAATAAATTCAATACAATAATTGTTGCCAAATATAAGTTCTGAGCTAAGTAATATGGTTAATTCAAAGGTAAGTTAAAAAAAAATTCACACACCCATAAAGACATCTGTGTTAAATCGGTCATCCGTAATAAATGTCTAAGGAGACAGCTAGTTATAGGTTTTATAAGTAAGGCTGCTTTAGGACCCACAGCGGATAACAGAGCCCTTATATGTCCATACACAAGGGCGTCAAGGGGTGTGGCTCTGAGGAGATGAGGAATATAGGAAAAGATAGGGTTTTTAAAGATTCAATTAGTCTTGGATTTGCTGGATTTCAATTAACGATTCACGCATTTTAATAGCTTTACATAACATAGATTTTAACACTGGACATTTGAACTAGTTACTGAGATATAATTAAGAAGAAATCATCTCAAATAAGAAAGTTAGTCTAAATTGTGAAAAAATGAAAAAATAACAACTTACGTTCCAAAGAAATAGTCCTTATCCCCAAGACGTTGACTGAGTGAGTTGCAACATTGCTCCACCTGAAAATTATAAAAAAATCTTTAGTTATGCATTAAAAATAAAATTGTATCTATCAAAAGACTTATTGTATCATTAAGAATGTATATTAATGCTAGGTATATATTATTTAAATTCAATTATTTTTTCTTTTACTGGGTAGGATATGGTATACAATTTTTTTTGCAAGTAATATAATCAGAAAAAGCTGGCAGAGTTCCATTCTTTAGTGTGTATTTTAATATATAAGTATATGATTTTCATTTAAATATAAAAACCATTTATCTAGCAAATAAAATGAAAAGAAAATTAAAATAATATTACTGGCAACCTCCAAAATATATACAAATAAAATGTCAAATTGATACTTGGTTGATTGATGTTAAAAAACAAAGCTTACATCAGCCAACACCTGTTCCAACGTCTTGTCATACCAATGCAATGCTTTTAATCGCTTAATTACAGTATTACGTTTGGACCGAGTTTGGATCCAGCCAAGTGGCCAAGGGTAAACTGATGAGTTGCGAATCCGAGTCACTGTGTTGTATGTGTCCTGGTCCACCCACGATATGTATAACTGGAATTGTCAAGGACAGTATTTATACAAATACAACATACTAAATACATATATACAGATACTTAGTAAATACATGAAGACCTACTTGCATGACCAATATACATTGCATATACAAGAAAATAACAAAACCAAATCTTGCCTACTTTGAACAACGTTTTACTCACAGTGCAACATATTTATTTAAACAACAATCAAGTGAACCATATTCGAGATACACAGCTGTCTCTTAAGGATTGTTGTAATCATACCTCAGCATTAACCAAGACATTAGTTATCAGACTCATATAGGCCCTCATTTCAGCTCTCTCTTCCGTTGTAAGTTTGCTGCATAAAGAAACACCCTTGTTTGCTGCAAACTGCACTATTGGCTCCAACTCTGATACAACAAAAGCTCCACATTTGATGAATGGCACCCGACCAGATGGAGACATGAATTCTGCATTCCATCGCATTTCTACTTCAAAAGGGAGGTTACACATCTGAAAGTACCAAAAATATTATTAAGATGACTTTCTTAGTAAAGGAAAAAAAACACAATTGCATTTGTATGAATGAAATTTAGTACCTTTAAAAATGCTTGAACAGCTAAGCAACTAGCATTATCAGGTAACAATATTTGCTCCACTTCATATGGCTGGAACAACTTCACATTATCTGGCCAAGGTTCTTGTGCTGAAATTGGTACAGTACACACAATAATATTATTTACTTAACTTAATAGAACATTAAAAACATTACACGCATTTCAATCATAATGTTAATGACAGAAAATCATAAAAACTATCTATAAATGTCACTTAGATGGAATATATCAAAATGAAGAGAAAAGGGGACAATATAAACTGAGCTTCAGATACATTGTAAATTATTGAATGCAAATTTTAATGAAAAACAAACATGGAATAAACAACACATGCAGCATTTTAATGGCAAAAGGTATTAACTATGTCCTCATCATCATCTGTTTCTATACAACTCTCTTATTAATAATAAAAATAGGGACAAGTTTTTACACAAAACATACTCATAAGAGTAAATAGTAATTATGTCTTGGGTTCCAATACAAAAGATACATATACAATTGAACTATAATGTTTTATTACTAAGATTATTTTTTAAGGGGTTTAGATGCAAATGACAAAAAATATTTTCTTATTGATTGTTCATGTTGTAAATACTGAAAAAAATATCATAGTTATTGCCAGTTAGATACCTATTTTACTGTATGTAAACATATTATGTTGTCTTTAAACTTTTTTTATATTAGATTGAAAAAATCTTTCTATGATAGCTAAGGAATGTGCATGAAAAAGAAAGCACAATACTCGTCTTATTCGAGTTTGCAAACCACAGATTTCCAAAAACTATTAATGTTAGTCAAATAATATAAACAGAAGAATTCAAAAACTCAGGTGAACAACTATACCGAAAACGAAATCGTCAATAGGCATTCTGCTAGGTTTTGTAGACGTAAAAACGTAATATAAATTTGTGAGGATGCTAAAAAGTGGAGCAGGTCATAGCTAAAATTAAATAAACGTGTCAAATAATATAGAAATATGTGAAAACAAAAATTATGTAATCTAAAGACATCGCATAAATATAACTAATTTAAAAAACTTACCACTTAGTGAGGTAATTATTGAATCTTTTAAAGACATTTCAGGCATTGTGATTTAATTAACTGGATTAAATCTCTCATAAAATGTATAATTTTAAACCATTTCAAAACAAAATCCAGACGAATATACGATGATTCGATGAAGCTAAATCACAAAGTTCAAACTTTCTAAGACTTTGACAATTAAAATTTTGTGTCCATAGACTAAATAACAATAATTATTGGGCCACAGAATAATAAAGATTGTGTTCCACATTTCCTTGAACGGCGCTGCAACTTGGACTGTGCGAGCATCCGAAAGGAGGAGATGATGCCGTTTGAAATAAAAAGTTGGAGGCGGATAATCAGGATTACCTGGTCAGCGAAAAGGACGAATTTGTCAATTCACAGGTGATTGTACAACTACAAGTGACAACCCGTCTTCCTACAGTTACCAAAGAATCCTGAGCTTTGCACATTTAGCACGCAGTGGTACCGCTAATTTATGAAGCTTATGATGACCGGTAGAGTCGATCTTTCAAGTCCATTGTCTTTGTTTATACCTCCCTCACTCAGGCGGCAGGCCACTCTTAACGGCAAGGCACTCGCGTGCTTTCTGTCATTGTGACTTTTCTATGGGCGACGGCTTAGCCTCCTGCCAGTCATGTTGCATTGATTTTGTTAAGGCTTCAAAAATGTGTCCTTTTAAAAAAATAATACAAACCAATTTGAAGGGTAGAAGACCCTATAGAAGATAAAATTGTGCATACCACACATAGCGAATAAAAATATAAGTATTATCCTACCTAAAGTAAAACTTACCCATTTGAATTAATTTAGTTATGTTGTCTCCAACACACGCTACATTTTTATTAAGCAGGTTTATTCCAAAAGCAAACTCTTCATCGTCAAAATCAAATGGCCTTTCCAACGGTTCTGATTGTTTTGCATCGGTAGCAATGTTTGATTTGGAATGTATTAATTCATTATATTTGTTAAATATTGCTTCGCCAACTTTACTTGGTGGCGACGACGACCTTGGTGTAGCTATTGGAGAATCGTAAACCCATTCATTTGATAAAGATGACTTCAGTTTTGGCTCTTTTACTTCTTTATCCCACATATTATATACACTCATAATTTTGAGGAAATGTCAAAAAAGATAATAACGAAATTAATATTTAGATTTACATAATCATTTGCGAAATAAAATAATACAAACAAAATTAATATTTAGAATGTTCACCAAGTTTCTATCAGAATTCTAAATAGTTATTGCCATTGTCTCAAAAACGTCTAAAAATAAACAAAAAGGATCTTCTGCTTTAAAGTAATTTAACACAATTAAAAACGAATCAAAGTCTGGATGTTCTTGCAGCACTGTGCACATGTTGTTGTAATGTATTCAAAACGTTATTATGTACGTAGTTTACTTTGTACGCTTTAAAAATGTCTTTCTAGTCTGTGGTTGTTTGATGTTTCATGTTTGTGCTGAATTGAATTCTATATTTTGGTAATTTCGTTATTAGTTGTGTTTTGCTACACAAATTTGAATTTATACAATAGATGACTGTTCAAAGCTTATATTATTTTTCTTTTCTAGATTATTAAACCTTAAAATGGCAGATGTTTTGGACATCGAAAATTCCGAAGAATTTGAGGTCGATGAAGATGGTGAACGTAAGTATTATTATTTCATTGTGCATCTCAGCTAAGAATAATTTGAATAAGTTACAATTTTTATAATACTAAATTAATACCCATAAGGTATAATACTAAATGAAAATATAGGTTATGTTTGGGTTACCAACGTATAACCAATCGGCATTTAGTAGATATGTCACGGAATTAATTTATATCACTTTCACGAAACTATAATATTGTATGTCTTGCTTGTGCATTGAACCGTAATCGCTTGAAGTCTTGAATGGTGCTTACATTTCTTATTGTATGAGTAAATGTATATTTGTTTTAATTTCTAGAGGGAATTGCAAGGTTAAAGGAAAAAGCAAGAAAACGTAAGGGTCGTGGTTTTGGTTCAGAAACTGGCGGAGGTACTGAGAGGGGTAATCGAGGAAGGTATATACAACTTAACTTAACAAAATAATTATATAATATTTTTGTACTGCAACAAATGAAGTCCTTGTCACTCTGTCACACGTTTCTATCTATGCATATGGGTATATTAATTTGTTAACTGTAGTAAAGCTCTACTATTTTTCTCATTACTCTGTCTGTTTTATTTATAGATATGACAGCTTAGCACCCGAAGGTGACGGCAATACACCTGGTCCTCAGAGATCTGTTGAGGGTTGGATTCTATTTGTGAGCAATGTCCATGAAGAAGCACAAGAGGAGGACATTCAGGTATATAATTAAATTGATTTATTTTTACCTTTTTGGCATATATTTAGTTAACTGATACTATCAGAGGCATAATCAACTTTTTTTTTACCAATACCCATTGGAGCCATCACAACCATACTCTGTCAAATTATTATCTACTTAGAACAATTATTTTATAAGTAGATTCCGTTTCCTAAAAATATATTCAAATTAATGCACATTCATTAATTTATACCTGTTATTACTTCTTTCTGAAACATTCTTATGTGGTTGGGAAAAAGTATATTTTTTTTTGGTAAAAATTTATGTTTACCCATATTTAAGTATCAGAGTTCTAATATAGGTACACAAGTGTGAGTTACATCTAATTTTATAAAATAAGTAAATTGTTACATGTTTTCATATATTTCATAGAATATAATTTTTTATATAGGAGTGTTTTCTCTTTACAGAATCAGTTTTCAGAATTTGGAGACATAAAGAATATACATTTAAATTTAGATAGACGGACTGGGTTTCTCAAAGGATATGCTCTTGTTGAATATGAGACTTATAAGCAAGCAGCTGTGAGTATTTCACATTTCCAATTTCTACTAGTGTTATATATTAGCAGTGTAGTATTAACACCTGTTGTGGAATTTGTTTTTTTTGTGAAAGGATTCACCATGGTGTTTTCAGCTGAACCTTTTTAAATGTTTATTAAAATTTTAATGGAAACTTACTTATATTTATATATAATAAAATAAAAAATAAAAATAGCCTTTATTCGAGTACACTATAACTACAGTAAGTTTAACGGATTGGCGAAGAGACTTAGTTCTGCAGCCTACGCGGTTAAAAAAATTCGCTCACTAACTGATGTCGATACAGCTAGCTTGTTTATTTTAGTTACTTTCATAGCTTAATGACTTATGGCTTATTATTATGGGGGGGTCATGCTGCTGATGTCGGAACTATTTTCATCCTGCAGAAGAGGGCTATTCGTGCAATCTATAATTTAAAATGTAGGGAATCTCTTAGAGATAAATTCAAGGAAATTAATATACTTACCTTTCCCTCGCAATATATTTATGAAAATATTATGTATGTATACAAAAATAGTGATAAGTTTACTAGAATAGAACATACGCACAATGTTAATACACGGAACAAACACAGGCTGCAATTTCCCGTACTAGACTATCTAAAGTTAGTAATTCTTTTTTGGGAAAAAGGGATACTCTTCTTTAATAAAATCCCAGAGGCTCTTTTATCACTGCCTTTCAATAAATTTAAGAAATGTATTAAAGAAAAGCTGTGTAAAAAGGCTTACTATAAAGTCAACGATTATCTAGTTGATAAAGGGGAGGGCCTGGGACTAGTGCTAGACAGGCTACTTCTAATCAATTTGCGATATTTGTTTTAAATAAGTGTTGTTTGATGATTTGCTGTTTTAAAAGAGTACCGAGAGTTTTTACGCGGCTTTTTCTCTCGGCCTACACCCTCTGTCTTCTTTGCCGATGAGTAGAGGATGCCTTCAAATTTAATGACGTGGAATAAGTGATACATGTATCTTATGTTCCATAATAAACATATTTTATTTTTATTTATTTAAAGTCTATGTCTTTTAAGTTTTACACTTGTACTCGACCTCGATGGAGTGGAAGGCCGAAGGCCTCCAGATTCTTCCACTTATCCCTATTTGATGCGACAATTTTCCAGTTTTTCCCGCTATCCCTTTTATATCGTCTTCCCAAGTTTTCGGTGGGCATCCTCCTTTCTTCTTCCACTGGCTTCAAGTAAGGGTCTTTTTGACCCATCTGCCATCACAAATGGGCCAATGGAGGCCATCATAGCCTTTTTGTATAAGTTACAACACTTTTATTTTTGTACGACTTCGTATAATCTTGTTTTTTATTTTGTTTTAAGTTAATTGAAGAATGGAGGCATAGCCCTGGGGGGGAAACCCCACCTTTTTTTTTAACGCCTTGTTAAAAATCCAGGTTTGGCATCCGTATGACAAACATGGAAGTATGGGGGATGTGTCAAAGATTGTTTTTTTCATAGTTCTTTATGGTTGGATTTCAGTACTTCTTTTAAATCCAATATTTGTTCATGCTAGGTTTACACGCTGTTTGTTTCTTCCACGTCTGTCTTTTTGACTAAACATATTTGTTTTCCTAGGTATATGTATTCAACATACTACAGTTTTGGACATATTCAAGAGACGTGGCGTTGACAAAAATTGGTCGTTCTTTGCTGTTAGTCATAACTTTAGTTTTGGAGGTATTATTTAGGCCAATGCTTTTACTTGCGCAGACTAATTCGTTAAGCATGTCTTGTAGTGTCGCACTGTTTGAGAAGATAACTATATCGTCGGCGAATCTCAAGTTGTAGATATGACCATTTATTTCTTCCCTTTTTCTCCCATTGAAGGGTTTTCATACCTTTGTAGAACCGTTATAAATATTCTGGGTGACAAAGGATCGCCTTGTCTTAGCCATGCATATTTTTATTTCTGGGCCAATTCTGTCTAACTTCACGCGGCTTACGCTTTGCTGGTATATATTTTGTATGAGTTCTATTATTTCATAAGGAACATTACATTCACCAAGAGCTTGCCACATGCTTTTGTGAGATATGGTGTCAAAAGCTTTGGCGTAATCAACGAAACCTAGGTATAGGGGGCAGTTTTGGTCGATATATTTTTCTATAATCATGTCTAAGGCATGAATATGATAAGAGAAAGCCTCTTCTAAAACCAGCTGTTCTATGGTTGATATTCTTGAAAAAGCGATATTTATATATATATGGGCCAAATATTTTTGCTTTAACTTAAAAATCTCTTAAATATCTCAAATTTAGATATAAACAATATATGGCTTAAGGCAAATAAATTAAGAATTGTTAACCTCCTTCCTGAATTTTTTAAGTGGGCAATTTTTTTTTTTCAGAGTGCCCGTGAAGCCCTTGATGGTACAGATATCCTTGGCCAGACAATTTCTGTTGACTGGTGCTTTGTAAAAGGACCTACAAAGGGGCATAAAAAACGACGATAGTTTTAATTTTAAACATGCTTGAGCAATTGAGTGGACTTACTTGAACAAATAGAAGTTATCTATTGCTAAAGATAAAAATAAATTATAACTGTCTCAAGTTTATTTTGTAATGGTGGTTATGGATTGATTTTAAGCTAAAGTAACAATCTACACTTTCCGTTTCTTTTCTAGCGGTGTCACATACCATATGCTAGACAAAGTAGTGGAATTAAATTCGAATTTTATTGTAAATTTAATGTTCTGTAATAAAAAGTACATCTTATTTTCCACCAAGAATTTCAGTATTTTCATTAAGTCCACAAAAATGTGTTTATGTATTTATCCAATGATCAACTAACAAGTGAATGCTTTGTAGAACACTCTTGACATTAATGTCAGAATAATATAACATTCACTTAGACAGTGCAGTAATATACATATGTATTAAGATCTTATCTAATGTCAGTGTTTTATTTGGATATCCATACCTTCCTCTAAATTTTATAAAAGCCCTGCATGCTACAATACTTTTATACATAAAATTTATAAATAATTACACTTCACAGCAACATATAATGAATAAATTAAAACACATTAATGTAATTGTATTAAGGTGCTATCTATAATTGATAAAAATTACTAATTAAATCCAAACAATTTATTATCAATAGTATTCATGATTGACCTATCTGAACACACAAATTTAAGCAACAGCTCCATTTCAGCTAAATGTGTTTAGAAATATTGATTTCAATAATTTTGTTCTCATATCATTAAACGGACAAATCAAGCCCCTTATGATTTTGTATGTGCAGGATTTCTCAATGGAGTACCCAGTATGTAAATAAAACAAATATTAGATCTTAACATATATTCAAGCTATAGAGCTAGCATTAGATGCAATACGGGGCCATAGATCTGCACACTCCTTTGCAACAGGACCAGTAATAGCAGAACCCTTCATTTCACCTTTGTTGTTTACTATAACGCCTGCATTGTCTTCAAAATATATGAACACACCATCACGCCTTCTGAATGGTTTCCGCTGTCGGATCACTACTGCTGGCATTACCTAAAAAAGTCTTAGTTTTAATGTATTGCTAACAAATATAGCACCAACTTCAAATGAATACTGGAGAAATCACATGTGCTGGCATTTCAAATATAAGTGTAATCACTCAGTCAGCCAAGGTGATAGCTCTGTTATAGAATAAGCAAAATCATTGGTGTATCATCTAATTACACTTTTTTGTGTTTAAGTGCTTGGCTTATTCAAAAAATTACCAAGTACACTTAATATTAATTTTGTTATTGTTTTAAGATAAGAAATTATATACTTAAATAGAAATAAAATTAGTCACCTTTTTCCTTAGTTCTGGTTTACCCTTCTTGACTGTGGCTACAATCATGTCACCTGAACCAGCAGCTGGTAATCTGTTAAGTCGTCCCTTGATACCTTGGACAGCAATGACATACAAGTTCTTTGCTCCTGAAAGAATGAATGATGACTATTTCATTATTTAATATATTTACCACAAATTAGTTCGATCTCACATGTGATTATAAATTTCACTAACAATGAAAAACAAGTAAGGGCTTCAATCATCCCACAACATCTTACACATGTATATTATCAAAATGTGATTTATATTCAAGTATTGGAACTTCAGACACAGCCAAGGATAGCATCATTATATATCAAGACACATAAAGTGTGTATATTGATCATCATTAGTTCCAAGTAACTCATTTTGAGGTTATAACACGATTAAAACAAAATAATACCTGTGTTGTCTGCACAATTAATAACTGCACCCACTGGGAGACCCAGTGAGATGCGGAATTTCGCTCCCGCGGAACCTCCACGTCCTTAAAAAGAAAACACATAATTTACACCTTTCACGAAAAACATAACACATGAAACCATTAACTATATAAACATAAAATAAACATGCAATCACAATAGATACACTAGTAGCATTTGTTTCTATGCTTGTATTACACGTTTAAATTCAATTTCACTAAGATTTAATAGGATTTTGTTATTTTCACGAACCTCTCTTAGACATTTTGTTGTGTCAATTTACAAAGAGGAAACTAAAAGAATGTCATATTGAAAGTTTTTATGGTATGTCAGTTTGACATTGCGTTCAGAAACCTAATTGTTGTTAATTGTCAATCAACAATTTATTAATTTGAAGTGTGATTTTTGTATTAATGTATTTGTAAATTATTTAAATCAACGGTTTTTTTAATAAGAAAACCACACGATATTTTCTTAGAAATAATGATTGAAGAATGGTTTTTAAATAAAACTCATGGAGATTCAGAGAGAAACCAGGGATCCACGCTCGTAATCTGTATCTTTCCAATGTTTTTCTATGCAATACGCAAGTTTGATGAAGTTCCCTGATGTCGCAAAGTCGAATTACGCAGAACAAATCTCATTATTAGATGATGATATTAATTTATCCCTAATGGGAAAGGCAAGGGACTCTCATTGTTAGAACCGGGATCGCTGTTGGTCTCTGAAATCCACTGAGTCTGACATCTGAAATCCACACGGGCCCCATGTACTCTGTATAGTAACCAGAGAGACGCTAATAGCAATCTACACTGCTGACTGCACTGATATTGTATTCGAGTTTTGTGACCTGGGGGGTTAGTCAAGATGCCTTAACAGTAGTGTATGTAGAAAGTCGAAAACTAAATTTGTATGGAAATGACAGTTCGTGTCGAAAAGTTTTCATACAAATTTCGTTTCTGACTTTCAACATACACTACTGTTAAGGCATCTTGACTAAGGCCCCTGTCGCCGGATTAGATTAAAAAAATTTACAGGGCAACCCTATTTTGAAAACGGCCTGACGTTTGACGTTCCTGTGCACACGATTTGACAATATTAAAACGTGACAAACAGTTTTGTAACTTTACGATACCACGGTAAGAAAATATATTACACCGTATAACGGAAAGTTATTTAATCAAAATTTGTTTGTCATTTTAACTATTTTAGTTTAAAACCGCTTTTCATTGTGAATCCGAATTAAATTGTTTTTGAAGTAGTATCGCATTTCGGTTGATATAACTAAAATTAGTTCTACATTAAGAATGGCTTTTATGGGAGATACACTATCACCAGCTCCTCTTTGGCATAATGGTCCAACTCCAGGAGCATTTTACAATTTTCCTGCGAATTCATCAAATTTGGGGCCTGCATCCCGTCCACTACAAGATTTCCGAGCTCAGTAAGTTTAATTTATTGTTTTAACCATTTCGATTTTAATAGAGTATGGTATGAAACATTAACCTTAACTTGGGTCCTGATACATTATTGTAAGTTTTGTAAAATATAGTTTGTTATTTCTAATATTAACTTTATTTATGTTAAGACTACTTGCTAATTATATCTGCTTATAATAAACAAAATGTAAATAGGCTTAAATGTTTCTAATGATAAACTTTGTGTGAACACTTTCAGCTCTGCAAGTCCAATAACGACAACAACATCTGTTATAGCTGTTAAGTTTGATAAAGGCTGTGTAATTGCAGCAGACACACTTGGTTCGTATGGATCTCTAGCTAGATTCAGAGACTGCCCCCGTGTTATGAAAGTCAATGATCTGATTATGCTTGGATCTGGTGGTGATTATGCTGACTTTCAGTACTTGAGAGATATTATTGAACAGAAAATGTAAGTTTCAAAAGATACTACCACATATTATTAATAAATTGAAAAGATATTTGAAGATAATAAAATAGTTTTTAATAATTGGTTGGTTCCTAATAAAAAGCTGATTTTATAGCAGTTTTCATATAGATCTTAAAGAAATTGTAGAGGTATGTGTAAAATAAACTTATAAAAATTCTCAATAGCCTCTAAGTAACCTGAAGTCTAAATAAGATAACTTGGTTGGAAAGGTAATTTGTTGGTATTTTTCAGTATTGATGAACAGTGTCTTGGAGATGGACTTAACTTAAAACCGCGGTCCCTACACTGTTGGCTAACAAGAGTGCTGTACAACAAGAGAAGCAAGATGGATCCATTGTGGAATAATTATGTTGTTGCTGGCATACAGGTAAATTTAAATGCCTAATTGTCTGGGCTATAGACATATATGTAGATTATATTTATTCTTTGTTAAGCTTTATATACCTATACAAACATAATTATATGCTTATGCCAGAGTGATCATGTTGGATGTTATCTATAAAAGGTTTCTCTCAAATTTCTAGTATTATTTTTAGGAAACAAATTCTGAAAAGTTAGACAATTGGATGTTTTGAACTGTTTATACCTGATAGATAGTTAACTGAGCATCAACTAAAGTCGCTCACTAATCTTAAACATATTTCTAAACTACTTTTCAGGATGGTGAGCCTTTCCTTGGTGCAGTAGATAAGCTTGGAACTGCATATGAAGATGCAGCCATTGCCACTGGGCTTGGAGCATACATGGCAACACCCCTAATAAGGGATGCAACTGAAAAGGGGCCGCTGAATGAAGAGTCAGCCAAGTAAGTTCTTCTTATTGTTTTGAAGGTTCCTTTTGAAGGTTGGCGATCATCATGGCTTTTTTGATTTTGGATGGTGTGTGTGTGAACAGTGATTTAGTGCTTTGTCAAAGTCAGATGAGTATACATATCACATACACTTATAAATAATCTTATATTTTTGTACATGGAATACACATCTATAATATTTAACTAAAAACCCATTGAAGATAAATCGGCAATTTGGAGTGATTGTTGCTGTTAGTGTCTTAAATGTTGACTTGTTATATTTGGTTCAACTTTGGACATATTGTCTACTATGATCAGTAATAGAATCATATTTTTTAACTCTTTTGAACTCTTTGAATTGCATATTTTTTTATTACTTGTTAGAGTGTATGAAAATTTTAATGTTGTATGAGGCTTGCTTTGTCTAACTCCCAAATGTAACTTGTAGCAATGACAGGAATTTTTATACTACAATTTGCTTAGATAAATTTATTTAAAATAATGTTACAGGGCCTTGGTTCGCAAATGTATGGAAGTTCTATTCTATCGAGACGCACGTTCGTTTCCCCGATACCAGCTAGGTGTGGTGACAGCTGCTGGAGTTACAATTGATGATACTGTAGAACTTAAACACGACTGGTCATTGGCACACATGATTAAAATGAAGTAAATACCTGTCAAATAAATGTTTCTTAATACAATTTCTTTATTTACTATATCATACAATATGTCCGCATGTTCAAGCAACTAGCTCCTACTTGAGCATGCAACTGTCAACCCTTAGGGTGTGTTAGAATCACAATTCTGAATGATTTCTTTGTACGAGCAATTAAGACTTGCTAAACTCACGAATCGACAATCATTTGATCTAAATGTGGCCAAAACCCATATAGGGTTGTTGGTTAGTAGCACCACTGGATTATCATTTAATGTTGGTATTTTGTTGAAGCAATAATAAAGGTTTTTTATGGCTCCTAACTAGATTTACCATAATCAATATTAATTACTCTTGACACATTTGCTTAAGTTAATAAAAAAAAAAGAGTGCTACAGTAATCAACCAAAAAATCATTTTGATATCTCTCTGTTTCTAGAAGTTGGAGAGAAAAATAAAACACTAATTTTAACTTAATTTATTTATAAATAATTCGTTGTAAAAATAAAATTCATTTATGGCTAGTCATAAATAGAAATAATAAATGCAATTTATTAATGATTATTTACAAAAGTAGAATATTATAACAATATTAAACTTAGATGAGCCTTAATTAGAAATTGGCCGAATTTATTTATTATTAAGCCTAATACTATTTTTGTCTACCGTTTGTGTATACCCAAATTTACTTACATTAAAAATAAATACATAATATCTATTAATTCAAATATTATAAAAATATTTTGACGCTTACTTAATAATTACATTATTATAAATTCGTTTACACATGCACCATAGACAATTGAGCAATATTTTTGCAAATGATGTTATATTGTGTGCAAATAACTAATAACACTGGGAAATAATACTAAATTCTTTTATCTAACATAGTTAAGCTATTTTTTGTATACTGTATCCATAAAAGAATTATATGTACATCGTTAGGAATATTTAGCGTCTTGAATTTTCGAACCATAGACATTAAAATAAGAAGTATCCATAATTTTAAAATTCAGAAATAGGTAAAATGATAGATAATAGATAACATCAACTTTTGATGCATTGATGGATGGATCGATCTATACGGCGACACACTTAAAATAATTTATAATAAATTGTATAATATATTATATATTTTTGCGTTGAAAATGAATCCACGATGTGGGGGATATGTGTCTTTCTAGAACTAAGCGACAGGCTAACTCTGCAAATTTCGCAATAACAAAGCCAGACATACTTCAAGTGATATCCTATAGTATCCGTTTAGTTTCACTGGGCCCTAATATTAATCAAGAACCAATTTATTTAATTGAACGCGATGTATTTTCGAATTTCAGTTCACGTTACATCATTTATAGTCTACGCAAAAAGATAAACGGCGTGGTTATGCGAACAAATATAATTCTTATTTACTGCTCGTTATTTATTTAATTCACAAATATTTATATAGTTTTTTCATATTATGTATAATTTTTTTAAACTATAATGACGTAACTTTGTCAACATATCGAACGAAAGTACTGCCGCGACCTCAAATTCCACGACGATTCCCTTTCCGCACAGACTCAGGAAGTCATTTTGCATCACTAAAAAGTATCTTTAGGTGATCTAAAACTTGCAATATTTGGTTGATCCAGTCCCGGAACTCTGATATTCGCGTGTAAACTCCGGGTTGGTTTGGCTCCGCACAGCCAATACCCCACGAAATGATCCCACCAAGAACGTAACGGTTATCCCTATCCCTTTGGATAACCATCGGTCCTCCACTGTCACCTGGGTAATACAAAATTTACAATTAGTTTCACATAAATTACGCAATCGTGTGACAACTCTAACGTATGTCGTCTTCAATAACTGGGAGATTCATTGCTTTATTCGACCTTTATCAATTAAGTAATATTTCATACCTTTAATTAACGTAAGTCTTAAGGAATAGTTATATAAAATAAACTAAGTATAAACTTTTAGTTAACCTTAACGTCTAATTAAGACGCAAAATTTCTCAAAACAGTTTAAATAAAATACATTTTCTTTGAATTTGCAGGTATAAATCCATACCACCATAAAATCATTTTAAGTTAATAAGTAAATTAATACATTATCAAACTCTTAGCAGTTATTACATTTTATTTATGAAGCTTGGCACGGAATAAAATTTATGTCTTTTAGAGTAAGACTCAAAATCGAAACAAAACTAAGTACGACTTTCATATGTCAAATCCAAAATTTTGTCTCGTTTTGTTTCTATTCATGATTCTGAATTTTACACCTAGGTAAGACCAAATTTAAACACATACTTAGGTACTATTAGTGCTAAAGCTGATTATTAAAGACAGAATACCTTCACAACTATCAGAGCCTCCATTCTTCCATCCCGCGCAAATAAATATGTTGGGAATGTGTTCGTTGTATCCAGCCGATTGGTACATTGATTCGCACGCAGTGTTGTTGATTATCGGCACTTGTACCTCCTGAAGCACGCTTGGCAGTGGTCCCTCTTTAACATTGTATATAATTAGCGTTAGATAAAATACGATTGCAGAGTTTTACAGGGCCGGGATTTGATATTCATTAAAGTATTTTTCTCAACAGTGCAGTGTTGGCCTAGTGGCTTCAGCGAGCGACTCTCATCCCTGAGGTCGTAAGTTCGAACCCGGCTGTGCTCCAAAGGATTTTTTTGTAGGTGCACATTTAACATTCGCTCGAACGTTGAAAGAAAACATCGTGAGGAAACCGGCTTGCCTTAGACCCAAAAGTCGACGGCGTGTGTCAGGTACTGAAGGCTGATCACCTACTTGCCTATTAGATTGACAGATACAGAATCTGAGGCTTGAGATCTGAGGTTGTAGCGCTTTTTTTTTTCAACATAGCCATAGAAGGGCATCTACTTGCCTATAAAGAATCAAAAGAAAAACAGACAAAGAAATGTGTCTATATTGTTCCAACAAGACCTCGTTCAGTACAATATTTGTACTATCATTGATTATAATTACACTTTAATTAATAAGGATATCAGATTTAAAGGTATCATTCAGACTTACCGTCATACAAGCGACCCCAGCCAGTGACGTACGCAGTCTTTCCAACGTAGTCATCATCATTGTCCGGTACACAAATTGGTAGAATATTTGGTTGGAATGTTACTGGCTCGTAAAATCTGTTAAAGAGATGTTTTCAATGTTCTTTATAGATGAATGTTGTCATTAATTTCTTTTAGAATCCCTTCCCCGTGTGCAACAAGAATTTCACAATAGTTCCATGTGCCTCGTACGAACACGAAGTATCTACGTAATTCGCCAATGTATCAGGTTTTAGCTAACTAAATTTATGAAGATGTAGACATTTTCCACCTTTCCAAAGTGTTTTAGGGAGCGGGAAGACTTTGACTTTATTTAGAAGTAGTAATAATTTCTTTTTTCTTGAAAATATTAAGTTGTTGTTTGTTTAATGTTTATATATGTGTACACGGTGTCCAGTGTACGGTACCTTTATAATACTATTTTATAGGAATTCGTACTTTAGGTGTCAGCTTCTAAAATTCGACTTCTGATAAGACAAAACCAGCTCAGCAATAAGATATTCAGATATTCGAGATGTTACCTTAACAATGCGAGGTCATATTCAAAGGTAGCCGGGTCAAAGTGTGGATGGCTAGCTATGATCTGCACCCGCCTTTCCGCGAAGCCGTAGGGTTCGTCTTCAGTCGCCAAGTCATGTTCTCCAAGACGCACTAAAAGCTCAGATGGCGGCACGCTGAAAGATGAAAGTGTGTAAGTGTACTTATAAATATAACACGGGTCAACATGAAATTTGACTTTGATTGCAAAGCATTAAATTTCGGTAGTTTAGGTCGTAATAAGACGGAAAAAAAATATATGGCATGAAAAACTTTGTTTTGCTTTATTTCACGTCTCGAACTTTAATAAATTGACCACATATAAAACAAATGCATCAGCATCGTATTTGCACTCGTGACGACCTTTTAAGTTATTGGTTGTAAATAACACCTGATGGTTTTTATCACTCGGGTGCCATCTAGGGCAAGTGTAAACGTTAATACCGCACTCACCGCGCGGTCTTTTTAAAAATATAAAATCAATTAAAATTTATGAAAAAATTGAAAAATGAGTGTTATTATTATAACTATCACAAAAGCAAACTTTATACCGAAAAAGGTTTTTTTCTTTTTGTGCATCTAATGGAAAATAAGTATAAACTTTAGGACAAAGAACGAAAATTTTTTTGTAGAGTCGTGTAATATATTACGTGCATACGCATTATTCATAAAACCAGACTTATTCTTGTGTTAAAGTTGTTCAACAAGAAGTTGTTGAAATAAATTGAATTTGTATGACTCTAAACTTGGCGATTAAAAAGAGTCCCGGAGAGTTTCTTGCCACTTCTTGCCCGCTTGCGAACTAAGTAGTACATGTAAATTTAGAATCAATTTAACATATTTTAAAACATAAGTGTACCTACTTGTTTACCTAGGTATATGAATAATGTTATTTTGAGTTTAAGTTTGGGTTTGAGTATATACAAAAGGATATAGACAGATCAGAGTGCTTACTCTGTAACGTTCAAAAGCACAGGAATCTCGCTTTTAATAATGCGTTTTTTTCCATCTGATCGATAGGTTGCGCCTCAGGGGGGGGGGGGGGGGGAAAAAAGAAAAAAAAGGAGGGGGGAGGGGGGGGGGGGGGGGGGGGGGGGGGGGGGGGGGAAAAGGGGGGAAAAAAAAAAAAAAAAACCCCCCCTTCCCCAAAAAAAGAAAAAAAAAAAAAAGGAGGGGGGCAGGCCCTCCTTTTTGGTGGCCGGGGGAGGGGGTATAAAAAAAAAAAAAAAGGTACCACCTTTTTTTCAAATAAATTTATAATTATTATTAATATCAAGCTTATGATTCCTAAAACTTTTGAAAAAGCTTTGCAACGTATTTTGCAGTTTAATGCCAAGACTAATGACAGTATAAATTAAAATGATATGCTTGATATGTCAACTTATAATGTCAATCAAATGGTAAATGAAAAACAAAACTTGTTTTTAAGGTAAACAACTTCGATTGTGGTTATAAAAATATATAATTTACTAAAAATCACAGGGTAAGAATACTCAGAATCATGCGAATGTACCATTAAAATGTGAGGAATGAAAGGGTTATTAAAGCAGTTTCGATACTAATATCCTTGTTATATATAAGGTGTATGTTTATACACCTTATATTAGAACATAGAAATTACAAGCAAGGAAAAATCGCATTAAAGCAAGGAACATAAATATATCTATTAACTAGCTGACCCGACAAACGTTTTTTTTGCCATGTGTAATATCATTTCTAGGGAACATTTTAATTCAATAAAAATAACTATCTACCATAATAAAAAATAGGCGTTGATCGTAGAGGGGTGAAAATTAGAGGTTGTATGTATTTTTGTATGCTGTGTCATAAAAAAAAAAAAAAAGATATTGGGGTGGACACCTCTTATCACTTAGGGTGAGATCTATAGTGCGCACTTTGGACTTTGCTCAGACTTACCTTACTACGAAAACTTTGCTTAGTGTACACTAAGGTTAAACTATGATTTCGTATTTATAGACATTTTAACGGTGAGATTAAGCTAAGCCCAAGCTAAGACAGAAAATGTCAAAATACAAATTGAGTTTCATTTCATGCAATACTTTTTTATTATCCTTTAAAAAAGTTAACAATAACAAATATTTAAAAATCTAAAACGGTACACATATATCTTCAATTTATTGTTATTTATTATTCATTTATTTTATTATTGCAATAACTAGAAATTACGAGTAACCTTTAGAAAATGTATTAATTATTTAAAGAACAATAATTTTATTACGTAGAACGGATCGCAATGTTTTGGTTAGGTTATAGTTTGAATTTGTTGTCACTATAATATGCCAATTGCCAGGGCTGCCAGGTGACATACAAAATCACACCAGTTATTTTTAAGATTTCTCAAAAATGGGGTTTGAAAATTACATAAAAATATAAATAAACAACAATAAATACCATAAAAGTTTTTTTATTTCATGCATTTCATAGGTATTTATCAAGATCATTTATAATTTCTTTGAATTCAAATTCTATTTTTCCCAAAGTCTATGGAACTCCCGATACAAAATGGCAACACTTTCGTTCATTAAAAACCGACAAAAATAAAAAGTCCAGTAAAAGATATGATGGTAAAGCAAATTTTGGGCCATTATTTTTGTTAGGCTTATAGTCAAAGTTTTTGGTAAGTCGTGTTCGTGGATTGAGATTAAGTAAGCCAAACTAGGGAGAGATCTATTGCTCTATAAAACCGACTGTGTCTTAGCTCGATAGTTAAGTCAGAGCAAAGTCTAAGTGGACTATAGATCTCACCCTTAGAGGCTTGAAAGATAGATAGTAGCCGATTCTCAGATTTACTGAAGATGAATATAAAATTTCAAAAGAATCGGGCAGCCGTTTTGGAGGAGTATGGGAAGGAACATTGCGACACGAGGATTTTATATATTAGATAAAAAATATCCAAAGTCTAGACTTAGTGCAGCCAAAGACTATTAAAATAATACATTATTGAGTTACAAGAGTTAGTACTTAGCGCTAAATCTCGACACTGAATCTCAGGGTACGTCTTAGGCCCATATTGTAATTCGTTGCTCAAGTCAGAAGCTCGTAAAACTAGAGTAGATTAAGGTATGAAGACGGGGCTTAGACATGGTCACAAGTAGCCTTTGTCCTTCCCAGAGGTCGTACTACGACTAACTCGTGTCTTAAGACAATGACACGAAGGATTATGGCATTGTTATAATATTAAGATTGTAATCTATCTACGTATATTTTTCCTTGTTAATTTTAAAAATGCATGGATGTTGTTTCAAAAATTAAAATATCACATACCTTATCATTTATATTAAAATTAATTAAAAACACTTTTTATCGACAACTTTAAACTCCTTTTTAATAAATTATTTATTATATTAGATAATATTAAAACCCAAAATGATTTATTGTTGAAAAAGGCATAACTGCCTAGTGCCTAGTCTTTACTTAGCTTTAGTTTTAAAAATATCAGTATAAAGAATATACTTAAATCATGAATAATTACTCTTTGACACTTAAATATCATTGACCTCGTCTTATTAGAAGACATCATATCACCCTGTTATTAAAATAATTAATACTCACTGTTCCACACAATGCGCTGCTGTAATTGCCCAATTTTCATTCAACAAAGCCGCACCACACTTGTGTAAGTACGTAGAGGTCCTATACTGCCTAAGTGATATCTGCCAGGGCCATTCACCGAAGCTGGACTTGGCTCCACCAACTATGCGAGCCTGAGGCCACATACGACGTCCGCACACTGCCAGCAACAATAATGTTGAATTTATTATCATCATAAAACCTCTTTCGTAAGTCTATTTTAATCTGTGGACGCACAAGGATCCCGCTCAAAATACACGCCAATATCTTGATTTGAATTTTAGAAAACGAATTTTAAAAATGGAATTTAGACTTCTGTAGGAACAGTTTTTGCGCAATTTTACAGTCGAAATTGCAATCGGATTAGATTATCCGCGTTTTAAACTTAGCGCATTAAAATGTTAAGCGTAACTGCAAAGTCAAAGTCACGGTTTTAAAGCTTTGCCATTTTTGGTAGGCCATTGCCCGAATCAGTCTGTCACGAACACTTATACTTGCACTTGTACAAATAAAACAGGTTCCACTTCCTTACACTATTATTTATTTTTACACATTTACTATAATTATCGTAAAAACGTAAACAACGATAACTCAATAGAACCTTATCAAACAATGGTTCCTATCACTGTTCTCAGAAAAAATAATACACTTGGTTATTGACTTATGTATGAAATTTATTTTTTTATTGACGCGTCCTTGCACCTTGGCCGTATTCACGCGCGAACTCCAACAACTCGACTCATTGTTTGTAATATATTTCATCTCCAGTGTTCATATAAAACGATACTAGTTATGTTTGTTTGTTGGCGATTCTTAAATCATTGCGCTGTTTGAAAAACGAAAGAATTGGTAGATCAATAAACATTATCTATGGAGCTTTTTCTAGTACATTCGCTTACTACTACGAAAGCTTTTTAATCGCGCAACATTGGGTACCACATTTGACCAGCCTTATCTGCCACCACTATAGAAACAATAATTATTTCGCGAGAAACTCGAACCCAGGTCGTTATATACCAATACCAGTAAACTACGGAGGTTGTTTGAAAACATGTCTTTAACAAGGCCTTTGACCGAAAATGGCGTGTGCGTAGGAATTCAGATGAGTTTTAAAAAATTGTGGTTAGAATTTATAAGTAACATAAATTTATGAGAATATTATACATGCAAAAGTAATACCTAACTCGGTTTATACCTTTGGTGTTACATTTCTTATAAACGAATATAATTTTAATGAGAAAAACCGCAGAAGTTTCATATGCTTAAGATATTTGCTTCAGTTGAAATTATAATATATTTGGAATTTAAGGAATTTTAATAACTAATTATTTTGTGGTATTTAGCAATTCGCAATTGAATTGGAGGCATACTTAGATTTAATCTTTCAGATAAAAATAATTAAATATAATAAAAGATTAGATTGAAAGAACTAAATAGAAAGTTAGTTGTATTAATGCATCGTTAGATTGCGATTTGGGATAGATAGAAAGAACAATCCTTAAACTTGTGCCAAAAAGTGAATTTTATATAGGCATAAGTTTTAGCCTGCTCAATTAAATTACGCCCAGCTCATAATTGCAACGCCAATTGTTTTTTACACGAAAAAAATTACAATTTTGTAGTAATTACAACAACGGTAGATATAGAAACCGGGTGTTAATGTTTAATTGGATATGTCATGTATTTCTAATTGTATTTCTATGGGTCCCTATGAAATACAGTGACCATGATAAAACACTATAGTCTAATCAACCGCAACCACAGATAATCACTTGGTGGTTTTTAAACACGGAATAGAGATTTCTGTACTGGCAGGATAGAGGATTTTGTTTCATTTTTTAGATTGCAAAAAATACTAATTGATGATTATTGGAAACTATTTAAGTATTTTATTTCGTATTGGTAATGATTTTAACTTAACATTAAATTTAGCAAGGTTTTATAAAAAATAAGGAACCTACATATCGAAACCTAAATATTAAGGCAATACTCATGATTAAATGATTAAATTAATTATCTATGGTATAATTCATAAAAGAACATCTAATTTTTTATCGTTGAAAATAATGAGTATTTTGCTGATGTTACACGGAAGTATTATTTATATCAAGGCAAGACAAAGAAAATGTATTCTTTGTGATTATTATGGTATTTAAACTGCAAATTGTTAGAGTATAAAATTGTTATTATTATATTTAATGAGTTTGTATATACGGGGCAATAAAATAGAAAAAATTGTTATTCTGATTAATATCTTAATATCTGATTTAGTTATTTTTTAAAAGTTAATATAAGTTCTCAATTATATAGTTAAAAGGTTTCCTCTAGAAAATATTTTCTATATGCTTTAAATGACAGTTTTAATAAAATTAAGAGCTTATATAAAAAACTCACCATCTTTGAAATTTGACATGTTGTAGGCCATTTCTATTGTTGCTGTCGTTACCTCATTGACGTCCACTAAAAGAGAAACAGGTTAACCAAAAATTATAATAGATAAGAACACACACATTTTCCTTACAAAAATCATAAAAATTTTAGATTTTTTTCAGGAACTTTTGTTAACTTGCCTGCGTTAGTTGAGTTTTCACTAGACGTTACATTTTCCTTTAAACTTTCCGTTGTAGTTGGAACTGTTGGTGATAACGTAACATTTACGATGAACTCCGGAATCTGTTGGGCTGATGTTGATGTTGAAGTAGTGGTTGTTGTGGTTGTCGTAGATTGTGTGGTTTCGACACTGGAAATTGATGGTGCACGAGTCGACTCAGTTGTTATAACCGTTGGTAATTGCTCTGCTGTTGTTGTTTCTGTGGATGTCGTTGTCGTAGTTGTTGATGTTGATGTTGTTTCTGGTTTTGATGTTGTTTCTGGTTTTGATGTAGTTAGCAGCACCCATCCTTCTGGTGGAGTTATTGGTGACCAATTATCTTCAATTAGACATAAGATAGATTAAAAGTTTGTTCTACGAGTCCTAGGTTACATTATGACAAAACTATAGTAAGGATAATTTAAATTTGATTGAGCGAACGAGGGAACGTGGAATACGGTACAGCGATACACTTATGACTCATTTATTCTTCGAAGAATTAAGGTATCCCTATAAAAAGCATCTTCAACAGGAAAATTCTTACACGGAGTCGGATTCTTAATGGTCGAGTAATTTGCCTCTTGGAGGTAATTAACATTTTCGGATTCGTTGGACTTAAGTTTGTATAAATGTTATAATTAATAATATAAATAATATTACTTAATGTAAATGTGATGCACTTTTGCTTCTTTCGACTTCATATTTTTAAAATTAACATACGACTTCACTCTTTATTTCAAGTTACAATTTAAGGGAGGAGATTATCAATTCGACTAAATATATTAGTCAGGCCACTCGTTTGTGCATGAAGTCTTAAATTTTTGCATTTATATTCGTTATATTTATATAGTAAGTATAATTTCCTATAAACTAAATTTGTTTTATCTAATTTTTCTCATTTCTACTGGAAAGATCAATGACAGGTCATTGGCCGAATTTTATTGTGTTGATAAATCACGATCTAACGATTTCTACGAGTTTGCATATTACTTCTGAGTGTGGTGAAATGTCCAATGTCGTACATTGTAGTACATATTATATATATATTACTGTTTTGAAGTAATTAATGTATTTTTAATTGCTCTAATTTCATACAGAATACTTTCAATTTTGATCGATTTCGTCAATGACTTTCTTTAGAAACCATATCTCGGATTATACCAGCTATAGCTTTACCAATATAAAGCTTGCTTTTAAAATTGTGGGGAATGTAGCTGATGACATGGATTGACAAGATGGACTTTTGTCCATTTTAGTAACCTATATGTTTTAGACTGCATCCTTTTCTTTGATTAATATTCACGCACAAGCCAGTTTTAAATGCGCACATAGAAAGAAAAATCCGTTGGTAAATAACATCATAGTGAACAACTATTCGATTGACGAATATTAGCTCAGATAAACTGTTCAATATGAGTCACTATTATTACAATACGAATCTATATTGCGAAAACACTTTTTATGTTGTACGTTAAATAACGAAGATTAAGAATGTATTTACAGTTAAAAATCATAAATTACTAACATAACTGATTTTATCTTTTCAGATGCTTTAATATATTAAAAATAAAGCCAAAAGAACAGCGTTGTCCTAGTGGCTTCAGCGTGCGACATCTCTGAGGTCACAGGTTCGATCCCCAGCTGTGCACCAACTTTCTTTCTATGTGCGCATTTAACATCCGAACGGTGAAGAACAACATCGTGACGGAACCGGCTTGCCAAAAAAGTCGACGGCGTGTGTCTGGCACAGGGGGCTGATCACCTACTTGCCTATAGACAAATGATTATGAAACAGATACAGAAATCTGAGGTCCATACCTAATAAGTTTAAGCGCCATTGATTTATATATTTTATTTTAAAATTAAGATGTTATAGTAAAGCTTTGAATTAGTTTAATCATCAAGTGGCAGCTTTAACAAATTTGTCCTTATATTCTTTAGTTAACCCTTTTTACTGTGCGATCGTGCTTAACCAATCGGATCACGTATCCAGGTCAAACACGAGTCGAGTCGGGTCAATACTGTAGTCAGTGAAATTCACTTTCACAATAACTTATTTAGAGGTCGTGGCAGTTTTATTCGCAAAGGAGATCATCGTCTTTTAAGGACCGTTTAGTCTAGTGACCTAGACTCCTATCAGGAATAATTACTTTATAGATCATCATGCATATCATTTACATCTGTAATATGCAATAACACTGTATATTTTATTACAATTCATTAAATTTCAGAGAGAATATTTCCATACGAAATCTCTAAAATCATAATTTACACATAACTGAATTTAAGAACATTTTACTGGACATTTTGTATTTTTTTGTTATACAGAACTACCTGATGTTAAGTGAAATGCCTATTTATCCGCCACTCGCCAACAAAATAACGTTATTAGGCACTTGATTACACTTAACGTAATTATAATGTTATCACGGTGAGTAAACTTTATAACTCACCTTCAGCTTCGGTGGTTGGTTTTTCTGGCGTCTTTGTTGCTGTGTTCACGTTTGACGACCAGGTAACGAATGGTGGGAAGTCGGTTGTTGTAATTTCAACCTCTGTCGTTCTTATTGTTTCTCGTTCTGTCAACGCTTGCGTTGTTATATCTTTAAAATCTGTTGTTTCTGCGATTGTAATTGGTTCTGTAATTCCTATAGTTGTTTCTATTTCCGTTTCTTTTGATATTTCTGTTGTTAGTTCTACTTTAGATGGTTCAGTAGTAGAGAGGGTTTCAGTTTGAAGAATTGATTCTGTTTCTATTGCAAGTGTTTCCGTAATTGATTCCGTTTGTTGTTTCTCTGTCGTTGTAGGTGCTGGTGTGGTCGTTGTAGGTGCTGGTGTGGTCGTTGTAGGTGCTGGTGTGGTCGTTGTTGTTGTGGTTACAGTCGTTGTGCTTGGATTAGTTGAACTACTTACAGTAGTTGAAGGTGCAGAAGTGGTTGTAGTTGTACTTGGTTCTGTTGCTGTTGTACTGGGATTAGTTGATGAAGTATTGTTAAATACTGTAGGTAAAGTGTTTTCTTCAAGCTTTGACAGCGTATGATTAATATAAATGATTGATGGACCTGATGGACGTGAAAATGCTGGTCTTGAGCTTGTAGATTGTGGTAATATTGTTATATTTAATCTTGGTGGAATTTGTATTGGCTTTTTTGTTGGAGGTCTTTTAGATGGAACCCTAAAAGGCGGTTTTCTTGTTGGAATTACTGTTGATATTGGCTTTGTGGGCCTAGGTTTGCCAGTACCTGTGTATGATGGTCTTGTAAAGTTAGTAGGTCTATATGTAGGTCTGGGCTTATAAGTAGGCCTCGAGGGCTTTCTCGGAGGCTTTGGTTTTTCTGTTGTAATAGCCTCTGTTGTATCTACTTTAACTGGTTTTGGTGAAGTTAAATAGCTTGTGTCACTTGATACACTTTGGAATGTAGATATTTTTATTGGAACTTCAGTTGGTTTTATTTTCTGACTTGTTTTCATTGATTCTGTTGAACTGGGTGTAGTTTTATCTCTAATCGTGTTATCTATGGTCGTAATTTTATCCAAATTATGGTCCTCATATGACGCTGTTCTATCTTGGGCGTTTTCCGTTGTTTCCGTTGGGACATGTAAACTGCTAGGCTTATTTGTAGTACTTGTTGGTTTTTTATATAAATGATTAATAATTTTGTCTTCTTGCGGGTGGACAAAATTTGAGCCATCTATAGTATTATCTTCTATATTATTAATGATACTTGGCAGGATATTTTTATCAGGAATTTGACAACAGGACCCAAAATAAAATCTGTCGATGCATGTCCCCAGATGAGATCCATTGGATTTGAGACAGTCTATGGCAAACATGCAAAGCCCCTCTTCTCCTGTTCTTCTTGAGACGCAGGGTAAATGCCTTATATTTCTAGCTAGGGGAACTGGAGCTGAAAAGAAAAAAAATATATTATTACTTTACGTATTGTTAAGGTGACAATAATTATGAACTGTTTACAATTTGAGGCACTGTAAAGTAAATTAGGTTTATATAAGAAGCTTCCTTCGTTAATAAGTAAATTAAATAATTTTATAAGTATTACAATATATGCTATATTTATTCCTGCTGGTCTACAAACAAAATTGGGATGTTATTCCACGCCATCTTGTTTTTTATGCCTGAATTATGCTGAGGTAATTTAACTATTGTCTCTAAATGTTAAGGTTAAATGCAGTTATCTTCCGACAGATGGCAGATTACACACACTACAAATACTCTATACAAAGAGTAATCATTAAAATATATAAGTACGCAAGTGATGATTATTTTGTATTTGACTGGTAATCCTACTAACACGAAATATTTAGCCAACTATAGCTTAGCTATAGCATAATAAGATTTCAGTGATCAATAGTAATAATCGATCATCTCTCTTTATAATTAACAGTTAGACTGGTTGATCAACTAAATACCGTTGCTTTGATCTAATAACACACTTATGAGTCAGATTAATATTTGCTTTAAGATATTGATTAGAATTTTATTTGACAGTATTGTAGATATAATTTAGCACATCTTGAACGGAGTGACCCACTTCTATTCTAAGTAGTTTAAAATATATTTTATAATAGTTAAAGCAAATTGATCTGACCGCAGCAAGTAAATAACCGTGGAAGTCCCGTTCGGGAAAAGTGAATATGTACATAAATAAAATAAAGCAAATATGAAGAACGAAAACAAATTAGATTATATAGATATAAGCTAAAGAAAATTTCTGAAAATCAGATGTAATAGGAATCAATGTTTAGTAACAGACATATTTTAGTCTTTCATAGGTAATTTTTTTAGGTGTTTAGGAGAACAGTCTATTCTACAAAATATGATTTAGATCTAAGTCGGGCTGGTTTAAAATAGTATGATTCGCTATTAGAGCTTAGATGAGATTGCGATTGTAGATGAATAAGATGGAAAGAAAAAATAGAGCGGTTATTACGTATGTAACGTACGTACGTATGTAATAACCGCTCATTCGTAATAAAACAGTGGGAGTCAAAATGGCGTCACTTGTTATTTGACAAAATTGGAGTAAAGGCGAAAATGTATATTCTTGATAATCGACGTTAATTATGTAGATCGCGTTGTTATCTTCCTAGTTGTATGTGAAAACTTCCAAAAACGGCTTTAGCAAAATAAGACTACCATTGTTCGAATACTCAAAATAAGAATAAATTCATATATATTTAAAATACTTTATTATCATGTTGGTAAATATTATATTAAATGTATAATTGTAAGGTTTTGTTATAGCTGTAAAGAAGAATATTTTTCATAAACTATTTTATTAATTTATATTTTTGTCAAGTATTCAATTGCGCTAATGCAATATAATATTATTTATTTAAATAATTAATGTTCAGTTCAGTTCAATTGCATCTATTTACCTACGTAAGATCTATGCGAAAAATGCAGCGTAGTGCTTCTTTTAATTACCTAATAGTCCTAGTTTTCCATAAAGTTAAAGTTAAAGAAAAATAATAAAATTAAATAATATGTAATTCTTATCTTCCTTATGTCAAAATAAGTAAACATTATTTCTACCTTGCAACGGGACGTATCGCTATTATAAACGGATATTTATATCATAATACTTTACAACGCTTACCACTTAAATTGCATTTCACAGCCATAAATACAGCGAAAGCTATAAAAACATAAAGTACTTGGCCCGAGACTTGGCGATCATAATATTTTTTTTTTTTTTGAAATAATGTTTATAAAAAAAGGTGGGGTGTTTTAGCTGAGCGACGCACGATTGGAACTTTACCCCTTACGAACGATAAAATGGCGATAATGTTCTGGGCTGTCGACCATATTTTCATACTAAAGGTGGTAAGAAACACTGACAATGTTGTAAGTGGCTGTCAAAACGTGAATTCAAAATAGAAAAGTCTGTGTAATGTTTTCCATACATCTTCTACACGTTCAATCTACAGATATTTATGTTTGTTTCTTTTCTTTTAAACCCCCAATTTTTTGGGTTACCCTTGATTTTACTCCTCATAAAATTTCCGTAAATAATGTTTATAAAAAAAACAATGGCGCTACAATCTTTTTAGAACTGGGCCTCAGATTTCTGTATCATGATCATTTGGTAATCTAATTAGGTGATCAGCCTTCTGTGCCTGACGCACGCCTTTGACTTTTTGGGTCTAAGGCAAGCCGGTTTCCTCACGATGTTTTCCTTCACCGTTCAAGCGAATGTTAAATGCGCACCTAGACAGAAAGTCCATTGGTGCACAGCCGGGGATCGAATCTACGACCTCAGGGATGAGAGTCGCACGCTGAAGCCACTAGGCCAACACTGCTCACTACAATAATTTAAAAACAAAAATTCTGTGTTTTTAAAATGTTTCGAACTGATTACACTTTTTTTTATTAATTAATTTACTTATTTTTATTAAGTAACTAGCTGATCCGGCAAACGTCATTTTGCCATGTATATCATTTATAATAAAAAATAGGGGTTGATCGTAGAGGGGTGAATGTTAGGGGTTGTATGTATTTTTTTATGCTGTATCATAAAAAAATAAAAAAATAAGTAATTTATCTAAAAATTTAAAAAAATAATTTAGGGGTGGACTACCCTTAACATTTAGGGAGATGAAAAATAGATGTTGTCCGATTCTCAGACATACACAATAAGCACACAAAATTTCATGAGAATCGGTCAAGCCGTTTCGGAGGAGTATGGCAACGAAAACTGTGACACGAGAATTTTATATATTAGATATTAAAATAACCGATAATAAGGAAATAATGTTTTGATGATGTTTAATGAACATCGGTTCTTGTTTAATTAATGTGACCTTTAAAGCGTACGAAGCTAAATCTTTTGTTTATAATTTCGAAATAAATTACGGATCAACTAAAATCTTATTTCTTAATTAAAGGTTCAAATCAAACAAAGGAAAAATTTAAGTTTCACTTGGGGCGTGATATTATAGATAGAATTTCCTATAAATAGCTTCATCAGTTTTTTAACAGCAAGCTTTATCCAAAATTATTAAAACCAACCAAGTAAATATTATTTAAAGCTATCATTTGAGATTTACAAGAAAAATTACAAAAGATATCGCACTGGTGCCGCAGAGGCGGTTAATCTAGCAGACGTAAACGAAGGAAATGGAAAAACACAAAATTCTCGACGTGACCGAAGTCAGTGAAAAATGTTAAAGAAGGCCTGACCTTTATTTAGAATTCTAGAGCACGCCAAAATACGCGATCTCTTATATCTTTATACAATTTGACTAGGATTATTTGTGATAGGTTTATAAACTATTATAGGTCCTAGTTTAAATAGTATCAACCATATAATAACTTCTCAGCCACTTAAAAAGGCGTTATCATATGTATAAATTATAGTAATAAATTAATAATGCAGATAAAATGCTGACCATTACCTAATAAGATTAACATTCATTAGTTGGTGAGTCAGTTCGTTTTAACATAGTTATGTAAAGTGTGTGTCACCGTGTGTCATCAAGAGAAAGCATACAAAAACCCACTGGTTGATTATCTGATAACGGTGGTTTGATTTCTGTTTGCTTCGAACCTAAGACGTCCATTCTAATTTATGACATATCTATATATATAAAAGAAAAATGGTCTACCCCAGCCAAAACCACTGATCGTATCGACATGAACTAACATTCGATGCACGTCCTAGTGGTTTATGGCTATTTATTTATTAAATTCCAACGTTCCTTCTCTGTTTTTCTTTGAAATATCCATAAGACTTCACGGGAAAATTGGGGGGCAAAAAATTAAAAACTGATTTTCGAAATAGTCCAATTTCTTAATTTATAAAATAAAATAATGAAACATAAAATTTATTTTAATTCGTCCAGCAAAGCGGGCGCGAAACGGCTACTACTGTATATAATAGCAAAATAAACCTAATATAAATCTATAACAATTATTATTAAAGCATAATTTTGGATAATATTAATGAATAATAAACCTGACGTAAGGTATTTCGTTTTGCCATCTTCTTGGATAGCCACAGATACTAATTTATTAATATGACACAAAAAAGTTTTAAGTTTTGTGTTAGTAAGTCACTTTCACTTCCTTGTCTCATCGGGGTCACTCTGGGGATCTCAGAAATGCATTAAGACAACATGTGTAGGCTTTTAAAGGAAAAGAAAAAAATGTCAGATCAAATGTGTTAGGCGGGAAATTTCACGATGACATTTGACAAGAAAGAGGGCATAGATAACAAAAAATAGTACACATGTTCCAATTGATGTAATGATTCTCTATAACGTCAGCATGGATAGGGTCTGGCTAATGAAAGAAGATAATTGAATTGTTTGAAAACTTTCGGATGGCAACACAGAATGTCATTGAATTTCTTAGGTTAGTATGATTTATTGTCTTGATACTTCATGCAATTACTTTTTTTATTTCTTGTATTATATATTTTTCCGAATAGTTAACAGGTATTATAGCCTAAACTTTGTTTTATTTGATAGAATATTTTGTTTCTTTCGCAGGATTTGATTATTCCGAATAAAGTTGTGTTTTATAATAAATATAGTTTTAGTTTTCTATGCAATGCTAGTCATTTTAAGTATCAATAGTAAACGAATAAATACGTATAGTATTTAATTTTATAGAAATACAGTTACTATTAATGTAAAAAATAATAAAATAAAATCAAGTATCAAGTAAGTTTAATTCACAAAATATATCAAACTTTTAGGGATACCATACTAAATTTTTATGAATTTGCCGCGCTTTATCGTTATCTTCTTTCATTAGCCAGACTCTAGCAACGTTTGATATAATTGATTTAGTTTCCCGTAACTATTGAACAACGCAATTCATAACGTTTTGTATTAGTTACATTAATTTAGTAAATAGCAATTTTCGTGAATGTAATTCATGTGTTTGTGTTTGCTGCGGCAAGTTTATTCTCTACCTGACTCCATAAACGTGTATTCAAAAATAATAATAATATCATCACGTCGTGCTTTTTGGATTTACAGAAGATAATGTGCAATGTCTGAATCTAGAAAAATAACTTTCACTATAACCCCTAGTATGGCATTTTAAACAACAAAAGAGTGCCATAAAACTATGACTCAACGTTATGTTTTCACTTTTATCAGGCATTCTTTGGGATGAGCGTTCAAACACAATGTTAAGATCATCCTCAGTCAATACAGGCGAAAGTAGTAATCTTTTGTTGACGGCAAAGTATTTTAAAGAGAAAACTAATTTAGATGCTTTTCGACAAATACGTAGTTTTAACATGAATGTTTTTTACTTTAAAATATTAGTAGTGTTTTTAAATGAATTATTATTAAATTATGATCCATATTTAAATCACTTAAATTCATATTTAAAGCAGAATCCGTTAAATAAGTTTTAAAATATTTACAGAAGACGACGTTTCGTGGTAAACGTGGTTGACAATAGCGGGAACCAAAAATAATATTATTAATAGGCCATATATTATTATTATATAACCCTAATTATTTATTATTATTTTGTTACAAATTATTTTTATTAATACGAAATAAGCATTTAACAATTTAATAAACACTAGATCTTATTGATTTTATAAATTTAATATTCAATATTCATGGAAAAGAATTATTTTATTCTCAGCCAAGCTATTTAATATGATTTTAAATCATATTCTATTAATATGATTTTATCAAAAGAATTATTTTATTCTCAGCCAAGCTATTTAATAACGAAGGCAAGCTCATTATATCATTAAAATATAATCTACTATTTCTTTAGATATAGTAAAAATAATTACCTTGCAAATAATCCAAGCTTAATATAACTGGCCCAGCCGTGACATACGTCAAACTATATAATAATTGCACTAACACTACCACTACAGTACAGTTGATGCTTACACTTCGTACACTATCAATTAGAGTATGTATCAGACACTTTTTCTCTTCACTTGTGTTGAATTTTGGGTGGCTGTACGGCCACGTGTTGATTGGTGGTCCCATTATTGTTGATGGTTTAGGTGTGTTGCATTTCGGTTGTTCTGAAACAATAAATAATATTTATGAGCTAAACTTTCAAGGATAATTATGGCTACAAAAACTTTTGATTGTAAAAAATAAGAGGTCTTTAATAGGAAATAATAATTGTAAATAATTTAAAAAAATCATTTTGTTACAAAATTTTTACACGCAAACTTTACTTATTAATTATAACTACGGATGTGTTAGGACACGTTTTTAATAGATCAGTCTTAGAAAAGCATAGAATAAAAATAAGCACACTAAATATATGCTCTCAACCTCTTTGCTATTACGTAACGTCTAACGATAAAGGTAAGTAGAATGATTTAAGTTTTTGCGATGCGGTTGTGTTTTTGTAGCGATGTCACCGTTAAAATGTGAGAAACTGTCCGTTATGGCGCCAGTCTTGGAGCTATTATTGAGAACGTAAATAAAAAGGTAGCTTAGTATATTATTTATTTGTTATGCTACTATGTATTTGGATAAACCAGGTAATAGGCCGAATTTTGGAGGAACAAAGAATGTGTTTTTTACGTAGGTGTTTGCTAAATCTAGGAAGTTATATAACCCTTGTCGGCTTTGATATTTATTTATCTTTAACAACATATTTTCAATATATTTTTTGTACTACGAAATCAGGAAAAAGTCACTCTTTATTCACGTATTAGGAGCATTTACATTGGTTGCTACTGAGTTCGATGACATTAACTTAAAAACATAATCGAATCAGTTTGAACACAGTTAAATTTCCATTACTAAGTGCTGTTCATATGTTTTATGCAAATATGAATAAAATAAAACCGGAATAATTTCCGGATACAAACAAATTAAATCAAATTTTTGGTATATAACATTATCAGTTATTATTTTAAGTTAGTTTTAAAAATATTAGAATATCTAGGTTTTATATATATCATGACAGTTACTTGTTAATTGTGATAATTATTATAGCGATGCTACTGTTACTCCTAGACATAAGAAGAATTGATAGGGTTTTCCGCTACCGGTAGAAGAAAATAGCTAAAGAATAAATAATAAATGGCTAAAGAATTTTAGAGAGCTTATCTTTCTATATCCTGTCTAATTAGATTAAAACTTTACAGCTTCTTTACGTCTCTATTTGATTTGCTTGGACTAGGCTAGACGCGACGAATTTGATTATAATTTCGCCAATTTTATCAGTTAGTTACGAACTCAATTTAATATATTTTTGTGAATCAAGTGTCGATCGACCGAGTCATAATAAAAATGTACATTGTAAAAATATGTATTTCGAACAAACTGCTATATGTAAAAAGTATCAGGATACAACAATTCCCTCCAATAAGCCACATCTCACTTAACATCAGGTGGAATTGTGGCCAAACGTCTCATACATGTCTCTTTCTAATAGTTCTTAAATCCAGAATACTCGCTCTTGTATTAAATATTGCGGTATATGTTTCGAGTAATTTGACACCGTGTAAAATATTACAAGAGCTGCTGATTATTCGATTCCTTAGCAATGCCCAAAAGATGTTAAATCAGTTTAGTACGTGGTAATTTGACCGTCGCGATGTGGGCCAAAGTACCGTTACATTGAGAAAGTGTAGGTCACCGTCGCCGACTGTCAACGCATAGTTTTACATATCACGCAGTGTAATATCTAAGGATCAAGTTATCCGCGAGTTTCTTTAACATAAACATAGAGTATTAAGTTAATAAGGTTATATATAGGTTTCGAAATTCAAGCTTTTCAAAATAATATTTAAAAAGCAACTGTAAACTTATCGTGCATTAAATACGCACAGGTGTTCATCACCAAATAGTAAACGTAATCAAATAAGACTTTTTCGTAATAACGATATCAAATATTCAGAAATTATTTTTAAGGTTTAATTAAAAGAGTTTTATTTATTATTTTCAGCCAATACTTCAATGCCTGTTAAAGGAATAGCAATACCAAAGAATTCTACTACTAGTACTACTAAGAACTTGTCACACTTCAAATCATTAAATTTATTGTTAGCAGCTGGTTAATTATGATCAAAAAGGGGTTCAGATTATGACGTCCGTCATATCATATCATTAATATTTTACCTAGTTTAATTTATATCAACATTTTGTTTTTTCTTGCACCTTTTCGTTATAACGTCATATCAAATATTCAGAAATTCTTGTGAATGGTTTAATTAATCAAGTTTCATTTATGCTATTCAACCAATATTCATGTTTTTATTATATGACATTATAAAATTAATGTGACATTTGCATGCCTATTTATATAAATATGGCGTATATATGGCTAACTTTACATCTAATTGTAATATCTTGGCAAATAACTATTTATTATTTATTATTATTAATACTTCGCTGCCTGTTAAAGGTTTAGCAATACCAAATAATTCTACTATTAGTATTAATACTTCAAATCAGTAAATTAGGTATAAAAATATATTGTTAACAGCTGATATTAGTGGACAAGAAGATGTTGACACGGAGATGACGTCGGTCATTTCTTTATCCGAGTTTAATTTATATCAAAATGTTGTTTGTATAAAAAAATTCTTTAAATAAATTCCGTTACTAACAGCTAATTCAGTTTGTGATTTAGATCAATAGCAATGTTAATCTGCGCAAGATTCTGACGTGTGCAGTAATTACAGTTAGTTATCCGCTTCTAATTAATTCTAACGGACGTGAGTTGGTAGACAATAATGTTATTTCCTTTTAGGTTCGTTAGGACACCTGTTTATTAAGAATCTATTTATTTAATCTACTTAGGATTGGAAAATGGTGGTAAGGGTGAGACACAAGTGGAGGAATTTGAAGGCGGCCTTTACTCGGAGGTCGTGTGCTAATCTTGAACATAAAAAGACAAAAAAACTTGGCGATTAAAAAGAGCGGCGGAGAGTATATGGCCAGTTCTTCTCTTCCGTTCTACGCCCTTGATTGGAGAACTGGCAGTAAATGTAAAATTACAAACATTTAATATACATATATTTATTTTTTAAGTGTACATTCTGTTACCTGTATGAATAAATGATTTTTTGATTTGATTTGAATCACATCGACTTAATGTAAGCCTGATTATGTTGCATTCGCATATAGCATTTTTTTTTTATTTCCTTATTTAACAAATTAGCTTCTATCTTCGGTTTGTATTTTGCAGCTATATATAATAGCTAAAATGTCAAAGAGAAGATTAATATCATTGTTATAATTCAGAAGATCATTGTATAATTAAATATTTATGTTGGCAGTGACTGGTAGACAGTACCGGTGCCCCGACAGCAGGTGCTTTTTTCACTTAACTTATTAGTATCGCAAAAACGGTGGTAATCTGCCAGCAATGAGGGGCAGGATTGCCACAGGGAGTAAACATTTTTAATTTGTTTAAGTCTTCTATTTTATTATTTTTCTATCTATCTAGCACACGCGATATTAGGCGATGAGAACTTGTTGAACATGGTTAACACAGAAAGCAAAATATCACGTGGCCGTTTACCAACCGGATGGATCGATCCCCAGTGAAAGCATCGTCGTCTTCAATACACTGTAATGAGAGAGGCGCTGGACAAAAACCGGTGAAAACCTATTTGTTTTTCTTAAAATGTTTCCTTGATCACGACGCTTAGACATGAGCCACAGACCGAAGAGAGAGAGATCTATACCCTCACTCCTTTGTCATTATAAGCAGAACATACTGACAGTGTGTACATTCACTGACATTCACCATGCATACTCGTAATGGGTACTCTTGACTAAACCCTTCTGCAGTACGTCCTAGATTTGTTCCAGGTATTATTTTTAACTATTATTATGTAAAGCTTAGGATATATTGGTTGTCACATAAAATACCATTATGGAACAGTTTTAAGCATCATCGTTTTAATGATGTATGTATATAAAGATACATATATGATAATTAGTGTAAGAAATTATAATAACATTTCTTTTTCATTTCACACTAATTTGGGGTTTCTAAAGTAGTGTTAATGAATCTTTGACTTAAAAAAATCTTTGATTTACCCTTACCACAAACCACAAACACCACAAAAAATGAATCATGTTAGCGTTACAATAGATTTATGTATGAAAACCTTATAAAGCTTTCAAGCTTATATAGAGGACGAACATGCGTGAAATAGAATTCGTGTGTTAAACGATACAAATTGTATTGAAAATCGATGTCTGCTGTCAGACAGTGAACTTATCGTATTATCGTTTAATTGTACGAAATTGTCGTAAAGTTTGTGCTAAGGCAGCATACAGCAATTTTATTTCATTTTTAATTAATCAAAATCTATTTATCCGTTTATAAACGTTCACTTTACGCACTAAAATGTGCACAATCGGAAAAGTTTATATAGCAAATATTCACGTTTATTAGAAGTAGGATACTTGATAGGAGGTAAATGCGATATTATGGGGCGGAAGGCAACCGGGATTCACAGTCAGTTTATCTAACAAACGCATTGATTTATTTAAGCGACTTATACATCATATATTTAGCGAACATAATAAATTATAATAATATTAATTACTTTCTATAAAACGTTATCTGAGATTTTATAATTAATAGTTAACGATAGGCCATTGAAGCGTTGATTTTTTAAGTAGACATATTCTTTATAATTCTATACAAATCATGACGCAAGCATTTGTTAAAGAAAAGTATTTTTTACAAAGGAACACCATGGACACAAATACTTTACCAAAAAGGACAACAACTCACTTGCTGGTTTTAATTTGATAGTTGGAACAATGCCACGTGTAAAAAGCCAATTAAATATTAATTTTATCTAATTTCTAGGTCACATTGTGTGAAAGTCTATGAAACAAAACACTATCTGATCGAGTGCAACATTAAAAATGCTTTATCATTACAATTATAATTTGACTGCCATTGTGTGCAAATGAGTCGAAACAGTTATGATTTGCAATTTTTCGTGTGCACTGATTTTTAATTTACAAGAATTGTTACTATTCAAATGATTTTT